TAAAGAATGAATGATGATGCAAACTACACAATTACAATTAATAACAAGAAATTAAAAGTGTAGGGAAAGAAGAATTGCAAACTTGATTTTATACTGGTTCGGCCAATCCTACCTACATCCAGTCCTCAAGTCTCCCACTTGAGATTTCCATTACTATTGTAAACCTTACGAGAATTGAATCCTCCAACACCTCGGAACTCTCTTTCCTTGTGTTGAGATTCAAACACCAACAAGGAGAAAAACCTTTTCTCCTTTAGAGATCCAATGATCTATTGAGTTTTTACAGAATGACTCTCTTGAAGTGTGGATATTACACTTTTATGATCTTAAAGAACTCTTTTAAAATTTTGCAAATGACTTAGGCCAAGTAGATTTTGTAAATGATTTTCACAATAGAGTTCGTCACCTTTCTATGAAAAATTATAGGTATTTATAGACAATTGTTTCTTGGGTTATGTCTTTTCATGAAGAGTTGTAACTCTCTATAATTTTTTTCAAAAACTCGGCTCTGGTAATCGATTACAAGACTTGGTAATCGATTACAATGGTTTAAGTTCAAAATGTTTGGAACGTTGTATAATTTAAATTCAAATTTTTAAATTTTCTCTTCTAGTAATCAATTACAGGAATGGGTAATCAATTACCAGAGAGAATTTTAACATTTGAACTAGTTTTATTTCTCTGGTAATCGATTACATCAAGTGGTAATCGATTACCAGGCATATATCACCTGATTTGACTTATGAAAACTTAAGATATAGAAAGTTTCTATTTTCGAGTTAAAATTATTTTTGTTTAATCTTTTGAATACTCTTTTTGCTTTCTTTTCAAACAACTTATTCTTATATTCAAAAAGATTAAGTTTAGGTTTTCTTGAAATCCTTATTTTAATAGCCAAGTGAAATTTGCAAATTCTAAAAGTTCATTTTACATACTAAGCTAAGCAGTCAAGACTTATCTAGTATTACTTGAGATCTTGCTTCTTGATCAGCTTGCTTTAACTTGACCTTTATTTTCTTCAATGCTTTGGCATCATCAAAACTTTGTGCATATTTTCATCCTCGCTAACAACTAGGGTTTTCGTGAGTTCGAAGGTCAGCACCAAAAGAGCTCGTGAGGGTGTTGTGTCGAGAAAGGGTTTAGTTGCGTGTGATGCTCGCAGAAATTTGTCTTCACTTCTACATCGGTCAGATGTAAACCCGATGTAGAATAATTTTGTGATTCCATTTCTACATCGGTCAGTGACAAAATTGATGTAGAATTTTTCAAATCTACATCGTTTCTTCACAAAACCGATGTAAATATGTTTACATAGTAGTACTTATAAGATGAATTTGGATGCAAGAAGGAAAAGTAGTAACTTATGTCTCTAGGCAATTGAAAGTTCATGAGAGGAACTACCTTATCTATGAGTTAGTGGTTATGATATTACATTAAGATTTGGAGACACTACCTATATGATTCTAAGCTTGAGGTATTTAGTGATTGTTAGAGTCTTAAATATCTTTTGACCAAAGGAGATAGTTGGAATTTCTTAAGGACTAGAATTTTAATTTCAATTGCTATCTAGGTAAAGGCAATGTGGTGACAGATACCTTGAGTAGGATGATCTTTCATCTATCGTTTTGATGATTTAAAGGTTAAATTTGATTGAAGAGTTTAGAGATTTAAGCTTGATTTGTGAGCTTACCCTTAGAAGCATTGAATTGAGTATGTCGAAGGTGACTAGTTAATTAATGGATGAGATTAGAAGAGCCTAAGAGTTAGATCCTTTCTTAGTGAACCAAGTGGAGAAGATTGGTAAAGGTATAGATAGCCCTTTTCGAGTGGAAGGTGATGGTGTTTTGTGGTTTCAGGATAGAATCTATGTGCCTAATAATCCCGAATTAAGGAAGATGATCTTAGAAGAAAGCAATAACAGTACTCTTAGTATTCACTTAGGAGCTATTAAGATGGATTAGGACCTTAGGAGGATGTATGAAAGTGGCATAGCAGAAACGTGGTGGTCTAAGGTGAAGAGAGGAGTAGAGGAAGTTGTGGACTCGTGTGTAGTATTCCAGAAGTCTAAGGTGGAACATTAGAAAGTCAAAGGCAGAAGACATATCCATTTTTATTTGCTTCAGGTAATTTCGGGGATGAAATTTTTAAAAGGAGGGAAGAATTGTAACACCCCGAATTTTTCTACTAATACTACGAATAATTATTATTTATTTTTGTATTTATGAAGATAATTTCCTTATAATTATTTTGATTAATTAAATGGGTTTGATTGAATTTTTTAAAGGTTTTTAATAATAATCATTTATGAAAATTATTTTGTATAATATTATTAATTATGATATTTTGTTATAATTATTATTTGAAGAAAATCATGTTTTAAATTATATTGATATTTTCTTTTAATTTGATATCCAAGTAAATGAACGTACTTGGAGCGCGGTGTCAGTCTCGGGTCCGGTGGAGAACGGCAAGGGCTCGATGAGGGAAAAGGAGATGGTGCGGTGGTCGAACCATAGCACGATGTGGAGGCTCTCGTAATGGACCGAGAAGAGGAGGTTAGGGTTACCTAGGGTGAGGTTCGCGCCGGGGCTTAACTTCTCGCCTCTCTTGAGGATCTTGACTTGGCCCATGACGAGGTTCGCGTCGGGGCCCTTCACCACCATGCTGGAGCGATCGCCGTCGTAGACCTTCCGCCGGCGAGCGTGAGAAGGATTGGGGCTAGGGTTAGGGTTTCTTTGTGATCTAATGGAAGATGAATAGAGGGGCATTGCGTCGTGGCCTTGAAGACAATCGTGGGAGCGAAGAAAAGAGGTTCCCATTGCGTCGTGGTGAGGTCTCCATCGTTGCTCGCTGGGTTTATGTTGCTCATGAGTGAATGGGTAGTGCCTTCGTAGGGTAATATTAGGGTGTTATTTCTACATCGATCATAAGCAAAACCGATGTAGAATTTCGTATATTTACATCGTTTCTCCTCCCAACCGATGTAAATATGTTTGTATTTTCTATTTATTTACAAGTTTGCCACCGCGTTTATGATTTACATCGGTTCTACTAGAACCGATATAAATATGGCGATGTTAAATAGTATTTTTTTAGTAGTGAATCTACATCGGTTCTCAGTAAAACCGATGTAGATTTTAGCACAAATCTACATCGGTTTTACTAACAACCAATGTAGATTTGTACACAAATCTACATCAGTTCTACTGATAACCGATGTAGATTACATATTTTTTTTAAAAAAGTTTCATTTATTTTTTAGATTCTTTTCGATTACCGGTAATAAATATATTTATTTTGAGATATGTTAAGTAAAAACATTGTAAACCAGGGATGTACTTAGAAAAATTAATGTTGCTTCAAATATCACACAGACTTACATAAATTTATAAGGTATACAGTAGACACGTGTGTTTATCCCCGTAGAAAATATGACATATCAAGTATTACAAACCATATTTTACAGAAGCCCTTTTGTTCAAATGTTATTGTTACGATTATCCGGCAGTGATCTAATGAAGGTGACTTCCTGAGAATCATGTTAAAAAGGGCCACATCATATTATATGTGTTATTATTTGTACAAGGACAGCAAGGTTTAAGGCCAAATGGGTCTTTTTGGTCATAATCTGAAATTGTTAGGAGGATCCAAACAGACAGGGTTTACATTCTTCCATAAAGTTGTTTCATTTTTTCTTATTTACTTATTCTTGGTACTGGTATAACACATTATAACTCACTGATTCGGAAGACAGTTTGGAAGAATGTAGCATATGGTAACTTGACAAAGCTAATAACTAAATTTAGTATATATGTACTCAATTTAGTTTAGTGAATTTGTACCAACATACTATCAATACAAGGATTTGAGCCACACCAATTCATATGAACATTCCAAGACCTTCAATTTCTTTAAGGGTGTAGAAAATGACAGGTGGAAACCTGATACAGAAACAACAAAAAATTTGAACATTTAAACCCAATAGTTTTGAATAAAATATTAAAAACCTAACTACCAACTATAAAATATTCCCAAAAAAACTGACTAGTTACCTGCTAGGCATCTTTGAGTTGAGTCCAATCTTAATACGATTCTGAATTTTGTTTTCACATTTAACTAGCAAATCCAACAGTTCTTGGGTATGAACAGTTTCCTCCCGGAAACAAGTCATAAGTCCTGATGAGAACCAAAAACAATGAGTAAACTAACAATAGCCACTTATAAGACCTCCTATAATTTCAACTTCACTTACCTATTAAAGTTGTATTCCACTTGTTGACAATTTTTGTAAATGTAGTAGAACCAGAAGACATAAGAATCTGCCTCACACAATTCTCAAACACTTTCATGTGTTCATCATCAACTCGTAAGAAAGCAACAGCTGTCCTTTCTTTGGTCTGTTCATTCTGGAGATTCCAAACACGATTTCTAGTGTTACTGAATGCTTCTTGAGTCATTCTAATTTTAGGAAGTATCCTTACTTCAAATCCACACCTAAAGGTCATTAACAGATATGGTTAGAGATAGCTTCATTCATTATATACATAGGTTTTAAAAGAAAAATTCAAAACTGCAAAAACACGAAAAAAAAAAGGAAATTAACAATTAGAAAATGCAATATTTTTTTATCAGGGGAAGATGTGGATATATTCTGAAATCAACTGACAGCCAGACTTTTTAACACTAGTTTCAATCTCCAACATGTCAGGTTACACATTCAATGCCAGTTTTAAAATTCTGAAAGACTCTAATGCAAAGTGAAAAAAGTGATTGACTTGCATAACCATAACCATTTCCATTTCACAGCAAAAAAAGGGGAAGGAAAAGGGAAAATAACATTACAAAAATTGCTGAAAATAATCAATACTCACATGCTAAAAAGCAAGTTTGGGTTATCCTTGCTGTAAACAGAAACAAAATTGTTTTCCCACTCCAATGTTGTGATGCTTCGAGGAAGACGATTCTTCATATCCCAGAAGACACTTCTCCCAAGATTGACTGAAATTATAACAGACAAAATAAGAAACATTTTAAGAAACAAAGGTATATTATATATATATATATATATAAATAACCTTCACAAGGTAAATAGGAGGAACAAATACCATCATGTTTCATGAGACTCATTCTAGCATCCCTTGGCCAACACTTCTTATTATTGTACCACACCATGTTCTCATTGTTAGGGTCAGGGTGCTCAGTCAGATACCGCTGAATGAGGTCCCGAGCCTCTTCATGGGTGAAGCGAAATAATATATGAACCCGATCTATGTACCTAGAATAAAGCCGGATTGGATGCCTAGTCTCAACTTTTGTGTCCCAATAAGTAATGAATTCGTTTGGCATCTGTGGTAGGCTAGCAATATCACTGGCTCGAGTCAGTCCAAGAAGCAAAAGATCTAATACCAGCCCATAATATTGAACAACAAAAGAAGCAAATTGTAGGCCACGAATAAGACCATATGAATTGGTATGGCTCATATCCTTGTATGACAACACAACATTGTTCTTTGCAGTGACATAATCAGTAATATTATCGTCTAGAACCAGTCGAAGAAGCCTGCAACATCAAAAATAAATTTAGAATTGAAAATAGCCAAGTACATTCACAAAGTGATTTATATAACACATACCTGTTGAGCATTGTTAAATCAATATTCTCAAAGAATTTCTCAAAGGGATAGAATCCCGAAGCCTGCAATGAATCAGAATTACATTACAGTGGCCAATTGAATTTAGAAAGAAGAACAAGAGTGAGAGTGACCTGATAGGTTCGTCGGCAACAATGAGGTCATGGAAAGAGCTCCAAACGAGAGAGTCGTTAGCGATGCTGTCAACGAGTTTTCTATCCACATCCACGTACTCCAACAGACCTTCACTTTCACCTTCAGACATACTGAATTTGAGAGAACACAGATTCTGAGACAGACAAAAACAAGTTTTCATTTTTCCTTTTCCTCCCACCTGCGAGTCTGCTGGCGCCTGCAATATGCCCTCTCCCATGTAGTGGTCAAGCAGGACGAGCTTATCCTCTTGCACATCGAGAACCCTACCTTTTGGCACACCACCATTTCCACCTTCCTCAAGACGCCTTCCTTGGGCACCTCCGCCACCGCCTTCTTCGACCTCGGAGGCCCTCGCTGCCAAAGGGGATGGCGTCAATTTTCTGGAAGAGATGAAGCACGCTTGCAAAACCTCCCAACCAAAGATGAAGGTCCGCACCATGAGGGTGGACACCGATGGCAGAGATAGGGCCTCCACCATTCTCTCCCATAGCAAAACCTACGACTTTGAGCTCACATTTTCGGACAGCTCCTCCAAGAGCATTTGTGGATTTGGAGCAGCACAACATTTTGGGAGAGCTCCGGCCATTCATGGATTTGGAACACTAAATGTTAGTCGCTTAGCCTCAATTAACTTAAGAGGGTGAATTAAGTTTTCTAAATTTTCCTCTTATTAAAAACTTTTCTAAATTACTTTCTTATCAATTTATTTTCTTAGACAAATTTGTATATAAAGAATGAATGATGATGCAAACTACACAATTACAATTAATAACAAGAAATTAAAAGTGTAAGGAAAGAAGAATTGCAAACTTGATTTTATACTGGTTCGGCCAATCCTACCTACATCCAGTCCTCAAGTCTCCCACTTGAGATTTCCATTACTATTGTAAACCTTACGAGAATTGAATCCTCCAACACCTCGGAACTCTCTTTCCTTGTGTTGAGATTCAAACACCAACAAGGAGAAAAACCTTTTCTCCTTTAGAGATCCAATGATCTATTGAGTTTTTACAGAATGACTCTCTTGAAGTGTGGATATTACACTTTTATGATCTTAAAGAACTCTTTTAAAATTTTGCAAATGACTTAGGCCAAGTAGATTTTGTAAATGATTTTCACAATAGAGTTCGTCACCTTTCTATGAAAAATTATAGGTATTTATAGACAATTGTTTCTTGGGTTATGTCTTTTCATGAAGAGTTGTAACTCTCTATAATTTTTTTCAAAAACTCGGCTCTGGTAATCGATTACAAGACTTGGTAATCGATTACAATGGTTTAAGTTCAAAATGTTTGGAACGTTGTATAATTTAAATTCAAATTTTTAAATTTTCTCTTCTAGTAATCAATTACAGGAATGGGTAATCAATTACCAGAGAGAATTTTAACATTTGAACTAGTTTTATTTCTCTGGTAATCGATTACATCAAGTGGTAATCGATTACCAGGCATATATCACCTGATTTGACTTATGAAAACTTAAGATATAGAAAGTTTCTATTTTCGAGTTAAAATTATTTTTGTTTAATCTTTTGAATACTCTTTTTGCTTTCTTTTCAAACAACTTATTCTTATATTCAAAAAGATTAAGTTTAGGTTTTCTTGAAATCCTTATTTTAATAGCCAAGTGAAATTTGCAAATTCTAAAAGTTCATTTTACATACTAAGCTAAGCAGTCAAGACTTATCTAGTATTACTTGAGATCTTGCTTCTTGATCAGCTTGCTTTAACTTGACCTTTATTTTCTTCAATGCTTTGGCATCATCAAAACTTTGTGCATATTTTCATCCTCGCTAACAACTAGGGTTTTCGTGAGTTCGAAGGTCAGCACCAAAAGAGCTCGTGAGGGTGTTGTGTCGAGAAAGGGTTTAGTTGCGTGTGATGCTCGCAGAAATTTGTCTTCACTTCTACATCGGTCAGATGTAAACCCGATGTAGAATAATTTTGTGATTCCATTTCTACATCGGTCAGTGACAAAATTGATGTAGAATTTTTCAAATCTACATCGTTTCTTCACAAAACCGATGTAAATATGTTTACATATTTTATTTATTTACAAAACTGCCACCGCGTTTCTTATTTACATCGTTTCTATTAGAATCGATGTAGATGTAGCAATCTTAAACAATGTTTTTCTAGTAGTGTTAGCTTTCCTCCTCTCTTGGAACACCAAGAACTTGGGAAGTTCTTGGAGCTAGAAGAACCCTATTACCCTGAGCTTATAAGGCTGTTCTTATGCTTTGCCTCAAGCAATGAAGGGATAATGCAATCTGTGGTGAAGGGCAAGCTTATAAAGTTCGATGGTCCAACTTTGAAGAAAGCTGCTAGGCTGAGCGAAGATGGGAGTACAAAGCCCCAACCCTTCAACTTTGGAGATTTTGAGGAGTTGACAACTTTTAGAGACTGTCAGAGGAACCCGAAAACCACCAACTATACAAAATTTCTAGTCGGAGGTTTGAAGAAAAATTCACGCTTAATTTCTTTTATTATAGCTTGGATGCTTAAGCCTCGGTTGCATAATCATGCTCAAATGTCAAGGGATGACATTTTGCTGATGCATGTAGTCAAGAAAAAGATTAAAATAGATTGGGTGTCTGTGGTTGTAGACCCCTAAAATTGTCCGGGTCGGAAAT